TTTTCCTCGACTTCTTTAAATGTATACGATTTTGCTTCGAAACGCTATGGTGCGAGTGGGGAGAATAAAATTAGGGATGATGACACCAAGCCTTGGTGGCTTTCCCTTTTTAGGACACTTTTTAGCATTTTAGAGATCACAAAATGATTAATCACCCTTAACTCCTCCTAACTTGACACGTGTAACTACTTAAAGAAGAGGAAAAATTTTACTTCCTTAAGCTTGAGGAATGGTACGGCTTTAGGAAAATAAATTGGAAACACTTCACTTAAGCTTACGGCTTTATTAAAACTAATCATGATTAATTCTCTAATTAATCACAATTAATGCTTAATTATTTAATTAAGCATAATACTTAATTACCAAAATTATTCCGAACGTAAATGGGACGTCGAAAATAATTTCGGACAATCTCGACTGAAAATAATTAATTCCGAAAATAATAATCGACAATGTTATTATATCGGAACTAAAACATGATTTATATTAATAAGCTGACGGGATATTACAATCCTCCCTCCTTAAAAATTTTCGTCCTCGGAAATTCAAAACATAACTAATTACACATGCAATATGTACATAGAACATGAAAATATGTACATCAAAACTGAAAATCTAAAAAAGAGCGCGAATGTCAGACTCCGCCTCCCAAGTAGCTCCGTTGCGATCCCACTGAATACGCACGAGGGGAACATCTCGCTTCTGGAGCCGACGAACCTGACGGTCCAGTACAGCTACCGATCGCTCCTCGTACGATAAGTCTGGCTAAACCTGAATATCTGTATGAAGAATGACATGATCGGGGTCGCACACGTACTTACACAACATAGATTCATGGAAAACATTATGAATGCCGGATAGCTCGGGAGGTAGGGCTAATCGATACGCGACTTCGCCTACTCGTTCGAGAACTTCGAACGGGCCATTGAATCGAGGGTGCAGTTTCCCTCTCTTCCCGAATCGAACCACTCCGCGAATAGGTCGAGTTCTAAGGAAAGCTAGCTCGCCAACCTCGAACTGAATGTCTCGTCGATGATGATCGGCTGAAGATTTCTGTCGACTCTGAGCTGTTTTAAGTCTCTGCCGGATCAACTCGACCTGATCTGCGGTCTCCTCAATCATCTTCGGACCGAGTACTCGTCGCTCTCTGACGTCGTCCCAATAAAGAGAGGAACGACACTTACGACCGTAAAGGGCCTCGTAAGGAGCCATCTGAATAGAAGAATGATAGCTATTATTGTACGCGAACTCAGCATATGGCAACAACGACTCCACTTAGCACCCCTGTCAACAACCAAAGCACGAAGCATATCCTCAAGTGTCTAAATGGTCCGCTCGGACTGACCATCTGTCTCCGGATGGTAGGCTAAATTGAACTCTAGCTTCGTGCCCATCGCCTCGTGTAAACTGTGCCAGAATCGACTGACGAACCTGGGATCTCTGTCTGATACGATAGTAACGGGCACTCCGTGGAGTTGGATGATCCCACGGGTATATATCTCAGCCAACTTATCCATAGACATCTTCATCGAAACGGGTAAGAAATGCGCGACCTTAGTCAATCTGTCGACCACTACCCAAATAGCGTCGTGATGTTCAGACGACCTCGGTAATCCCGTAACGAAATCCATCGTGACTTCTTCCCACTTCCACCTCAGAATCGGCAGTGGTTGCAAGAGGCCGATCGAACTCTAATGTTCGGCTTTGACTTGCTGATAGGTAAAACATCTCCTGACGAACTCAGCGACGTACTTCTTCATTCCGCGCCACCAGAACGACCCTTTCAGGTCATGATACATCTTCGTGCTCCCGGGATGGGCTATGTAAGGTGTGGTATGAGCCTCTGATAATATCTCCTTCCGCAACACCTCGACTCTCGGGACCACGATCCTGCCTCTGAACTCTGAGGCACCATCTGAACCTAACTGAAAACCCTCGACGCCTCCGGCGCGGACTTTGGCCTCCATGATTCGAACGAACTCGTCAGAAGCCTATTCCCGCCAGATTCTCTCTCTCAGCGTCGGCTGAAGCTGCATAGCACTGATGCTGGCACTGACACTCCCCGAAAGAGCTGTGGGAAGTGCGTCGACCGCCTGAAGCTGCATCCGGGCGAACTCCTGAATCAACGGACTCTGCTGAGTAACGACGTACGTCAAGTCACCCCTCACCTTTCGGCTTAGGGCATTGGCAACGACGTTCGCCTTCCCCGAATGATACTGAATCGAGCAATCGTAATCTTTGACGAGCTCGAGCCAACGGTGTTGTCTCATGTTAAGCTCCTTCTGCATGAAGATGTACTGCAGGCTTTTATGATCTGTGAAAATCTCGCAACGACCGCCGTAAAGATAATGTCGCCAAATCTTGAGGGCGTGTACAACGGCAGCTAACTCCAAGTCGTGCGTCAGATAGTTCTGTTCGTGCGGCTTGAGCTGACGTGAAGCGTAGGCAATGACCTGGCCGTCCTGCATGAGTACACATCCCAGTCCTTGCTTCGAAGCATCACTGAAAATGGTGAAACTCCGAGAAGGATCGGGAATAGTCAACACCGGGGCTGAAGTTAATCTCCGCTTGAGCTCCTGAAAGCTCGCCTCACAACGATCAGTCCACTCGAACCTCACAGACTTCCTCGTCAGCTGGGATAGTGGGAGGGCAATCTTAGAAAATCCCCCGATGAACCTGCGATAATAGCCAGCTAGACCGAGAAAACTGCGAACCTTGGACAGACTCTTTGGTGTCGACCAGTTCTGAACAGCTGAAACTTTAGAAGGATCCACCTCGATACCTTCCTGAGTAATCACATGATCCAGAAAAGCTACTCGCTGGTGCCAGAACTCGCATTTGGAGAATTTGGCATACAACTTTTCTCGTCTGAGGGTTTCGAGAACCACCCTCAGTTGCTCCTCGTGCTCCTTCTGGCTCTTCGAGTAAATAAGAATATCGTCAATAAAGACAATAACAAACTGATCGAGGTAGGGATGGAAAATACGGTTCATCAGGTCCATGAAAACCGCTGGAGCATTACTGAGGCCGAATGGCATGACAACGAACTCGTAATGGCCGTAACGAGTCCTAAAAGCAGTCTTAGCGATATCTGACTCCTTAATCTTTAGCTGGTGGTAGCCTGATCGTAAATCAATCTTTGAAAACACACAGGCTCCCCTCAACTGATCAAATAAGTCGTCGATTCTGGGAAGCGGATACTTGTTCTTGATCGTCAACCGGTTAAGATCCTGGTAGTCGATACACATGCGCATGGATCCGTCCTTCTTCTTGACAAAGAGAACGGGTGCTCCCCAAGGTGACACGCTTGGTCGGATGAAACCAAGTCGTAATAACTCTCGAATCTGCGCCTTAAGCTCCTGCAACTCCTTAGGCGCCATACGGTATTGGGCTTTCGATACTGGGCCGGCTCCTGGAATGAGATCGATAGAGAACTCCACCTGCCGGTTAGGCGGTCCTCTTGGAAGCTCGTCTGGGAACACGACCACAAACTCACGAACAACTGGGACATCGTGAGGTGATCGTGCTTTCTGAGAATCATCGACAAGGCTCACCAGATAACCCTGGCAGTTGCCTCGTCGCAATAACTTGGTAGCTTTCGCCATTGAAACGACTTGGGGTAATGAACGATTCTTGCTGCCAAAGAAAGTAATCGAATCGTCTCCCGGAAGATAGAGAGTAATCTCCCGGTCATGACATTTGATATCTGCATGATAAAAGGATAGCCAATCCATCCCGAGAATGAGGTCGAAGTCCCTCATCTCAAGAACATACGCGTCGGCAGACAATGAACGACCACCGACGGTAAGGCTGAGATCTGAAGCTTTAGCTGAAGTCACTATCTTTCGTCCCGAGGCTAAACTCACCTCGAGAGGATCGATAGCGGTGGTAGCGTGAACTCCGATGGCATCAAGACATCGTCGTGAAATGAAAGAATGCGTCACTCCAGTATCGAACAAAGCGAAAACAGGAATATTATTTAGTAGGATCATCCCTGACATAGTACCTGGCTGCTGTTCGGCCTCGACCTGATCGACTGCGTATACTCGGGCCTGTTGTCTGTCCCTTTGCTGCTGCTGCTGCTGTGGTGGCCTCTGAGCCTGCTGACGGGGCTGCTGCTGCTGCTGTGGCTGCTGAGGCTGCTGGGGCTGCTGTGCCTTCTTCGAACACCGGTTAGCAAAGTGTCCGGGCTCGTGACAGTAGTAACATATATCCTGGCCGAAGCGACACTCGCCTCGGTGAAAACGTCCGCATGTGGGGCACTGTGGAACCTGCTGCTGCCTCTGTCGGGTCCTCCAGTCGGTCTGTGCGCCCTTCCCCTTCCTCTTCTTCTCCTTCGTCGGCTGGGCAGCGGGTAGAGTTGGTGGAGCTGTAGATGACTGGGCGGGAGCGAATGGCTGAGGACGATCATGGATGGCCTCCCCCCTGATGCTGGCGTCCACCTCCTGGGCAATGGAAACTGCACGAGCGATAAATATATGTTATCCACATCAAATAATGGTGCCGTGTTCGAAATATGTCTTTCCGGAGACGTTGCTTACATTTTTCGTACTTGCCCCTATTTACCCTTATTTTCCTCGACTTTCTTAAACGTGTACCATTTTGCTTCAAAACACGATGGGGCGATAAATATAGGTTATCCACATCAAATAATGGTATCGTGTTCGAAAATAAGTCTTTCCGGAGACGTTGCTTACATTTTCGTACTTGCCCCTATTTACCCTTATTTTCGTTATCCACATCAAATAATAGTGTCGTGTACGAAAACAAACCTTTCCGGAGACGTTGATTTATTTTTCGTTTTTGCCCATATTTACTC